ATCAGAAAAGTTGCTACCGATATTGTGCAGAAAACCTAATCACAGCACCATCAGCAACATGCAGCACACCATGATAATTAACATAATTAAAATCAAACAGCAAATGTGCTTTGGATGCTATGCATGTGAGATATCAGCATTTTATTGTCTTATTGTGGATTTAAACCGTGATATAACATGTCTGCGTACAGAGGAGGCAGAGACTGTCCACAGACATCCAGCTGTCTCCAGTCTCGTCTGCATGAGAGAGATGCAGGTAAATTTCCACCAGTACATACACCCACTTACTTGCTCACACACACACGCACACACACACACACACACACACACACAGTTGTGTTTTCATATCCTTGTGGGGACATCTTGTCATAGCTAACAGATGGACTCACATGCAGACAGAGTTCTGGTCAGGGAAAAAGGTGACAAGAGGGTGAACCACAGTGCTATATAGATCTATTCCTATATTGAGTTGGGAACTGGTCTGGGGCTCTGGGGGGGAAAAGGAAGGTAATCCACGCACACCCTCTTCTTCAGTACAATCACCACCGCTTCTCTTGAGCACAATGGACTGGAGAGGCATGACTTTATTTGGGACACATGAAAGACGTTGTGTATTTTCATATTATGAGAGAGATTAAGGCGAACAGAAACTGGGTTAACCAGTGCTGCGATTTCAAACGACCTGATGAAGGTTGATTTGAGTTTCTTAGATTCAGTATGAAGAGGTACGTACCGTGTGGACAACTGTACCTTCTGACCGATGGTGTAATCTGGAGCGGGAGTTTTATGCCGGTTGACATGTTTGTTGCATTCTTTGGTGCGTAACAGTGCCACCCGAGTGGCCCTCCAAAGCTGGCGACACCTGCAGAGGTGAAACTGGACCAAAGGAAGAAAGTACTCACCTTCCACGGCCAAGAACGGAGGAGGGGGGCTGATACCCTAGGGAGACCTCAAAAGGCGTACGCCCTGTAGCCGAAGACTTCAAGCTGTTGTGGGTATACACCACCCCGGGCAATTGCTCGCTCCAGATGGTTTGGTTGGAGGCGACAATGCAGCGAAGCACGGTTTCAGCTCCTGACTGGCGTGCTCCGTTTGTCCGTTGCTCTGTGGTAACCAGAAGAGAGACTAACCTTTTCTTCTAGAGGCGAGAAGAGTTCCTTCCATACCTGAGAGGTTAATTGAGGTCCATGATCCCATACTATATCCTCCGGGATGCCATGGAGGGGGAACACATGGTTAGTGAGCTGCTGGGCTGTCTCCACGACCGACGTGAGTTTAGGAAGTGCTACAAAGTGAGCAGGTTTAGAAAACTGATCAGCAACAGTCATTATTGTGTTGTTACCTGCTGACGGGGGTAGGCCGATGGTGAAGTCCACCGTGATATGAAACCACGGCCGAATTAGTGGTTGTAGCAAGCCAGCCGGTGGTTGATTCCCCAACTTGTCTCAGGCACATGTAGAGCAGGTGGAGACATATTCCCGAGCATCTGGTGACAAGGTGGGTCACCAGAAATAGCGCTGGAGGGAGGTAATCATTCTGTTTACTTCTAAATGGCATGTGAAGCGGGCAGTATGAGCCCAGTGCGGCACCCTGGAGTGGACGGTGGATGGAACAAAGATCGCCCTGCGAGCCCTCCTCCGGGATCTGGTTTGGCTCTTAATCTCCCGAACGGCCAACTCGATCTCCCATGTGATTGCTCCAATAGTGCAAGTTGCTGGAAGGATGGGCTCAGGATCTTGTTTCTCCTTGTGCGTCGAAAACTGCCAGGACAGAGCGTCCAGCTTCACATTCCGGGACCCTGGCATGTATGTAATTGAGAAGTTAAAGCGGATGAAGAAAAGAGCCCATCTGGCTTGCAGTGCGTTGAGTCATTTTGCTCCATGTAAGTAAGCCAGGTCCTTATGGTCTGTCTAAACGATAAATGGCTGAGCCATGCCCTCCAACCAGTGCCTCCACTCCTCCAAGGCCAGTTTGATTGCAAAGAACTTCCAGTCTCCCACATCATAGTTGGGCACTGTAGGAGAGAGATGGCGAGAGAAAAAGGCACA